CTAATGAAAGACAGAAAAACATAAGAAACAGGCGTTGTGCTATGATAACCCCCAAAGGTGCGCTTGGTCTTGACGGAGAGCCTAGTAAGGGTCCTTATGAGAAAGGAAGTGTTACAATGACACATAGAAGGATATGTTCTCTCATGGTTATCAAACAAGTGTTGGGAAACTAGCACAATGAATTCACTAACTAAGGAACACAATTAACACATGTTGTGGAGGTGTAAAGAGAAAATAAACATTTGTTATGAGCTGGACATGCTTCTGCTATATTAACTCCCAACTGCAACACACGACCACGACACGAGCAACCACAATACTAGGAACAAAGTGAGCTACTTACTACAAGATGTCCCAAGTTAACATGAAAGTTATACTAAGATGGCGACACAAGATCTTCCTATGACAGGGATGTGAGGATGTCAATTTTCAAAGAGACTTTATGCACACGGTGACCATCATGCACTCATGTGATAGGTGTTAAGGTATGCTCTTATGTTACTAGAAGCTCTCATGATGATACTCAAAAAAGAGTAGAGTGATTGTTCAGACCATAGAAGCCATATACACCAGTGAGTAAAAGAGTGACTCAAGAAGGATCGCAACATTAGAATGCTTTACATGGAACTTGACACCACATAGGTAAACTTTACGACGGAGCATGCATAGGCACAAATGAGCAGATATTGTCCATTTAAATAGAAAGATCCTATAAGAAATTTATCAGGTATAGTCCCTTGTTGAGAATTTAGGAAAGTAAGTGGAAAGTGTTAATCCTAGAGTTATAACTCAATTCAAGGACATCATTATAGAACTTAATTCCACAAGAGTATGTAAATAAGAGAATTTGTGATAGAGTGGATTCACGAATAATATGTCTTATTCACGGAGTAGGTACATGCAATATTTTGTGACTCAACATCTTATTACGACCATGTTCATGTGAACTCTTCAATATGGGTGCACATATACAAAAAGGAAATCATGTGGTGTTCATAATGATATAGCAAGGAGTGACTTATTTGGTAACTTTATATTGGTGGGGCAGTGCCTTAACTGATGCACCCTGACTCCACACATGTAACATACATTGGTAACATACTGATATACTACATGATCCGGTGGTGCAGTGACATTAATAGGAACAAGGGTACTCTCCTTAGCAACAAGTTCTATCAATCCCTCCATGGCTCGATACATTCTTCTAACAAACTCTTGGGCAATCTCCCTCAGATTCAATGGTGGGGTCATTCCCTCCTTACTTCTTCAAACTCATGGATTATGGTTTCAAGATTACTCATCTTGAGAGTAAGACATAGCGAGAAAATTAGCTCCCTATCTTGGGTTCTACTGCACGATCTGGAGTATCAAAGAAAGGTGAAATTCTTAAATGTCCAAATAGCCTCCAACTTATAGATGCGGTCGACAACACACCGATAAGAAGGACTCTACTAGACACGGCTCCGAGACATCCTAGGACACTTTAAAACCTTAGGCTCTAATACCAAGTTTGTCACGCCCCAAAAACCAGGGAGCGCGACCGACACTCAACCGAGTAAACCCGACTAAGCAAGCCTGTTAGGTTTCATTCTACCCAAACTAATTCATGAATAAATAGGAGATGGACCCCATTAATCATACTTTGTAAGTATTTCATTAACAACTTCCTTTTTATTTCCATTAGCAGCTTAATTCATAATTATCAAAAATATTACAAGTTGTATAAATCTTTGTCAAATATCAAGATTTCTAACTCAATTTTCCATTATCAAACACCACCCACAACCTGTCTATGGAGCCTCTAAATACAACTGAAGGGTAATATGGAAATACCGGCAACAAGGCTCTGGTTATACCTCAAAATACAAAGTACATGATAAACAATTGATACAGGACCCCGAAATGAAGTGGGGCTCAACATGCCAGCTGAAAGGAAGATGCGTCACAAGCTGCGACCACCACTGTCTGCTATAGAACCACCTACATCCATTTAAAAACGTAGCGCCCCCGGCAAAAGGGACATTAGTGCCATCAAATAGCACTAGTATGTATAACTAAACACCGTCTCATTAGAAAGAACAACCATACAAGAACAAAGAAATCATAAGGATTCAACAAAAGCTTTAAACAATAACCACATCATCATATAAAGGGAATCACATAGCTTTCACATAATTTCCATAGCTTTAGTTTGGGGCATTTAATACTGTTCATCATCATTCACAATACCACCGCTTTCTTGAGCAAAGTCCGATCATGACCCGATCGGCTAGGTTGCCTCATTTGAGACATGTACCTCAATCACAATCTCATTCTCACTTTCCGGAATTTAATATCAGCACAATACCACCATGTGTGCGGCATGACGTCTGATAACGGCCCGATCGACTAGGCAGCCTTATCAAGGCGTTGTTACTTTCTCATTAATCATCTCATTTCAATCTTTATTTCACATATATCAATTCATAGGCACTTAGAGCCACAATTATCACATCATACTTGGCATTAGGCCACATTTCATAACTCACATTCCACATCACTTTCACTTTCAACATCAAACTTGCAATTTAAGATAATGGGCACATACAAGAGCAATTCAAGTTGTAAGCATAGAGAGTAATTCTCATGATTCGGCATAATAATCACAATTTAAACTTGACTTAAAATCTAGGCAATTTAGCATATAGTTCACATTCTTCACATATCCCTAATTTACCAAGAATAGCATATTGAATACATTGAGACATACCTTTCAAATATATTCTTGCAACACCAAATCCTTTGAAATAACAAATACTACATAAATCAAATTCCGGACTTACAACATATGCGGGGATACCATGGGAGCTCAATTTCTAAGAAGAGGAGGGTTTTAGCCATACATACCTTGTTTAAGCTTTTCTTAAGTTTCTATAATCCACCAACACCTATAGCAATAACAATCTATAAGAAGAAAGCGAAATCAATTAACAATTTAGAAGGATTTCCCATGGTATAACTTTCTTAGGAATTTCATCAAACACCTAATCATGTGAAATAGACTATAAGGTTCTACAATGGAAATTCCTTCTTCCCTCATCAAATTTCATCAAGAACTACCCAAAATAGTTCATTAATCCCACATACTATAGCTTAGTGGCACATGCACGGCCTATTTCTAACCCCACAATATATTTTTGAACTCATAATCTCATATATGAAATATTAGAAGTAGGACTTACCCGGAAGATAGTGAGCTAGAGATTAGCATGCTTGATTCTTGAGGGTTTGTGCAAGATTGATGATTAGGAGGCTAGGTTCCTTCTTTCTCTCTCTAAAATGCTCTCACCTCTCTCTAGATTTAGTATAAAATGGTCCCAAATGAAGCCCCAAAGCTTATTTATCAAAGTGAGTTCGGATATGAAAATTTCCAAAAATGACCCCCGAAGTCAAATATATGGTGCAATTATGCTATAGCATAATCGAAATGTGGGTAGCATTTTTGCAGCATAATCAACATGCGACAACATAACGTTTTGCCCGATACTGCTTCATTATGCGACGCAAATGCGGTTCGTATAGTCGTTTTGCGATCGCAAAATTGGTCGCAAATCCAGCCTTTGGTAATTTTATCATAACTTTGTGTAGGAATGTCTAAATGACGAACAATTTGAAGTGTTATAAAATAGACTCGAAGACCTTTCATTTGATAGGTTGTTCACTACATAAAACCTTATATATATTTAGATATGCTCGTCCAAATAGTGGACTTGTGCGAACTCATTTGGAATTGTAACCTAGTATGAAAGTTTCCAATTTGACCTAGACTTACGCCTCCCATTAGACCCCACATTACACATTATAAGACTTATACACTTATTTACCAAATTCAATTGATGCTCATCATGTTAATATCACATAAAATATTATAATTAGCCTACCTGGTACCACGAAATCCTAAATTACTTGGTGAAATTTCCGGGGCCTTACAAAAATGTCTAGAAATATTTGGGATTCTCTTATGGGATGTAATATTTAATAGAATATGAAGTACTCCATTTTTATTAACTTTACACAATGTGTTGTACGATAACTTTCTTATCACTCGATCTCTTTGTTTTTCCATATTTATTATATTCTTATATCTTTTTCAAATTTGAAGTGATTTGATAATTAAAAATTAAATAGAACATATTATTATTTAGGTTTTATATTGATTTTATGTTTAATTTAAATTCGGTTAACTTCGAAAGTGTACATCAATAAAAATTTATTGTCAGACAACTAAGAAAATAACTATCATGTGTTTATAAGAAAATTCTATCATAAGAATAGTTTAAATGTATATTTACTTGTAAATTTTTGTTAAGAGTAACATTGACATATTATTCATGTAACAAAAAAATCCGAAAACCCGAAAAATCCGATAAAACTGAACCAATCCAAACCGATGTAAATGGTTTGATTTGTTTTAATGAAAACCAAACCAACTCGGTCCATGTACACCCCTAGCTCTTGACTTAACGTTAAAATAGCACGGTCTAGCCAGTTTTCGGACTGGTCATTCAAAAATAGTCAGCGTTTACCAAGTCAATGAAAAATAATCATTATTTTGCTGCAATAGAGACCGGTCCAGCATGATATACTGGAGTTCGGTGTACCTGTGTATGAACTTGCAGCATATTATGACCGGTATATTATACTGGAACTTCAGTACATTATGCTGGAGTATTTTTCCGAATTTTGAACAGTATTTTCGTTCAAATTTATCTTTACACGAAAAATAGTTAAATTTCGATTACTTTTGAAACTGTGATTATTTTTGAATGACCACTTGTTAATCTGGCTATTTTTGAATTTCTCCGTGACTTAACTTATCATTTCATTGGTTACGCTCTCTGTTTATAGGTCCAATTATTTGTCTAGTGGTCTTAGTGGCTCTGATATATAAAAAAGAAATCAACATAACGTAATATTTAATCCACAAAATTGTATAAACAATTAAACATCTGCAACAATCCTTCATTCAATTTTTCCTTTTATTCTCTTTCCTCATTTGTCCTTACATTCCTTAAGAACAAATAAGAAGGTATACAAGTTATCATACCAGAATTAGGAAATTAACAATGAAATTCATCAAACAATAAAAATTACTATCCCTTACAAATTACAATTGTTAAACATCCAAACCATATGGCACCATCCATATGCAGGTCCTAATTAACAACCCTTTTTCTTGTACATCCAAATAAAATACAAGATTCACAATCAGACACCAAATCGACTCAATCTCAACCCTAACACCAAAGTAATGCTACAACAAATCAAATAAAAAAAAATAGTCACAATAAAATACAAACAAAGCAAACTTTTGGGTTTGCTTTTTTTTTTGGGGGGGTTTATTTTTTTTTCCAAATATCAAATGAATTCTTTACTACCTCTATTTTAAATCAAGTAGGAATATTCTAAAATCATGTTAATTATCACAGGGGTCCACAAGAGAATCGGAAGAAAAAAAAATTGGGGAACACATCACGTGAAGGCGCAGCTGTCAGCTGAGGGTAACACTGGAATTGAGAAGCTTACGCTTCTTCCGTGCAACTCATCTTGTTAAATGTTGATGGTGGCGCCGCCGCTGACGGTGGTGCATGGGCGGTTCCGTTGTTGCCCATTTTCTTCATATTCTGTTCATGATAAATCTGTCTTAATCTCTCAATTTCCTTCTTCAGTGCTTCTTGATGAGCTGCCATATAACATGCAAAAAAAAAATGAGCCGAATAAAGAATAGATTTAATTTATAAACACAGAAAGTGTGTAGAATTTTATGTCGTAGCGAATAATCTGATTTATCTTTCAGGTTAGAAATTTTTACGATTACCTATAATTATCTGAAGATGCCTGATAGTTCGAAAAATTACTCATTATAGGTTCTGATAATTAAATACTATGGTTGCGTGAATGACAAGGTTGAAACTTATATAGACGATAATTTATCTTGGAGGAATAAGTTATGTCACTACAATATTGTCATGACATGACCTATTTTTTCGTCAAAAGTATGAGCAATTACTGCATTAATCACGCAATTACTTTTCCATGACATTAGTAAGTTAAAATGAAATCATAGTACTACTACAGGAACTATTCTGTTCACGGCACGTGAAATTTAGGTGAATAATTGATTGCATTGTGACCAGGTGTAAACATAATTAGTACAAAAAAAATCATGAATTGCATGCATGTCGTTCGTTCATTATGTTAAGTCATCAAATCACATTGATTAATTAGGAAGAGCAAATTAAAATCAATTTCGCTAATTAAGAATGATTAAAGTTTTTATGGTCTCTTACCATCTTTAAAAATCTTATCTTGAGCCAAAGCTGCAATTCGTTGTCTGAGTGCACTATTATCAACGTTCAGAAGCAGCCTTTGATGGTCTAGAAAAGCAACCCTTGGTGACAATGCTGATACTTCAGTCTGAGAAGAATTAAAAAAACAATATAAGTTATTTTTCAAGTTATTATAAGAACATGATTATATATTTTAATGAAGAAGAAGTCAGTTAATTATATTAAAAGTAGAAACTTACTTGAAGACTGGTTACACTTCTTTCCAGTTCCGAAATGTACTGTAGCTTTCTAACTCTTGATCTCTGAGCTGATTGCCTGTTAGCTAAAATTCTGGAAAACAAACAAACTCAAATCATTATTAAATAAGACATAAGAGCAATTTGTTGTACATAAACTTTTATTCTGCTACTAACATATTTGGAATTAAGTGCCCAATGGTTTCAATTGCTTTTTTATTTGAAATTACTATTGAAGATATAACTAAGTATATAGAAGTAAATTCACCTTAATTCTTTAAGTTTTTATAGATGAATTTGTTACACAATTAAATAAGGGATAAAGAGCAAGAATAGTTTTCGTGTACTTGTCACATGAAAAATATTCAGGCTACCAGTTTAAACTCTTAAATATTTAAATCTGCAAATGCCTAAAGATGAATACTTTAGCAACTGGATTAGTCATATTATTTACCTCTTAATCCTCTTTGGGTCCACAATAGGATTATTATCTGAAGAATCACTAGCAGGAGGTGGTGGTGGTTGAGTATCACAAGAACTATCAACCTCTCCAGGTTCATTCTTCGGCTGAATTACTTGGTTAACGTCGACCTGTGGGACAAACTTCTGATCTTCATTTTCGCTGATTTGATCAGACGGTGTAGAAGGATTCGTACTAGACGGATTAGAAGACGGCGCTGTAGTAACAGCAAATGCAGCAGCACCGCCGCTATCATCTGAAAACATAGTAGTAAGCTGTTCATCATCTAACTTATCAAACCCAATACTAGAATTAGCGCCGCCGTGGCATTGCTGCAGAAACGGAGCGGCCTCCACGAACGCAATCGGGTCGCTCACTGATCTTCGGTGAGAATTTCTCCTAGCTGATGAGAAATCAAGAAAATCATCAACCCAAGAATTATTATTAATGTTATTGTTATGCAATGGGGGCATAGTTTGAAAAGGCCAATTGTGTGCCATTGTAGGAACTTTTGGTGGTAGTTGAGCCATGCACAAACTAAAATGGCAAGGTTTTATTGTGGTTCAAGAATTGAGATATGGGTAGTATAAAAAGAGAAGAATGAAGAAGAAAGAAAAGGTGTATTTAGGGTAATAATTGAATGGCAAAAATGGTGTGATGTGAGTATCTCTATTTTAAGAGGTTAAGTTGTTTAAGAGTTATTACTAGCAATTTTAAGGGGACCAAAGTTAAGGTTTGTTTTCTATTTATTTTTTTGGAGGGAGAGGGAATAGTGGGTCACATGGGAGAGGGATTAGGACAGCTAGCAACAGCTGTGAAGAGAGTGAAATAAGTCTTTCTTTCAACGGTTTATTAACTGGCGGAATCGGTCACCACGTGCCCTTCGATGTGACCCTTTTCGCCTTTCCTCTTTTCCTGTCCGAAACTCGTTTGTTTGAGATGAGTTTATTATATATTTAATTAGAATAAAATCGTGGTATAACTAATTTCAAAATTAGTTATTCGGGGTGTATGGGCCAAAATACGACCGAGGAGATTTAGCACGAGGAAGGTAATTATCGTGAGAATTGTAATTTATCATAGGCAGTTCGGCGGAGGTCGGTCAGTGACCAACAGAACGAAGTGTTGAGTGGCTCATCAGGGTCGAGGTCGAACACAAGATTGAAGGAACCTACTGGCGAGCTGATTAATCAGGGCCGAGGTTAGGCACTCAGGCCAGTAATAACAGCTAGTTCTGCGATACGATATTTTAGGGGAATATTCTATCGAATATTCTATGCATCTGTACTTTAGGTTAGGTAAGGGGTATGTCTCATATAAATAGAAAGGTAGAGAGAAGAAAAGAGGGCAAGTAATATTTCATTTGATAAGAACACTTTTAAAAAAGCAAGCTCACTAGATAATACAAAGAACAACTTTCAGAGAGAGATTCGATCTTTACATTCTATCCATTGTCATTTCTACCAGATCCGAGAAAGTGTATAATATTCTTTCATGTTCTTGTCTTACATCACTGTCAGAAAGAAGAATCATCCACCTCATTCAATATTTGGGTAAATCATTCTCTTTATTTACATTCGTTGCCATTTAGCATATTTATTGCTTATCATTATTCTCCACTCATTAATAGCAGCACCATTTAATATACATTGCATTAAATCGGCTTTAACGTAATTCCACGTTGTATGTGCAAACACTTTTTGGATCTAGAAATCATTATATTTAACTAGGATTTACATGTTATCTTCTTTCTTAATTAGTTTAACAAAATGTTTCATATTTTTTGCCATACAATTTGGCATCGTCCGTGGGTCTTCCTAGTTAAAATTTTAGTTTCTTTTAGATCTAAACAAACAACGCAAAAAACCCTATACTTCCTTGTGTGCACAAATCTAACATGGCAGGCAACAGAGAGGAAAAAAGGAAGGCAATAGCCGACCTCACCACTAACCTCCTCCACACCATCAACGAAGTGGATGAAACGGAGGGCGAAGATGCAACATCAAACACCTCTCCCAGGCGAAACATTTCGCCCCCACCTCATGGTAGCGTCACGACCTCGCACGGTAAAGGGGCCTCTACATCCACAACAGAAGAGGCACCACCGACAGCGAAAAAACTACTTGAGGCATGGTTGACAAACACGCTGACCAACATTCTCAATAAGCCCGCTCAAAGGACGAACAAAGAAGATGCAGAAGTCTGCATTGTATCGACACCAAACGAGCAAAACGCCCCCCATATAACAGGTATTACTCACAATGTTAGTGATACAGGTAACAACACCCTCACAACCATTTTGAGGAAAATGGAGGAGATGGAGAAAAAGAAAAAATGCTCCGCGACCAAATGAAAGAGCATCAAGAAAGGGTAAACAAAATACCGGGCACCCAAAAACTCCTACCAAAAAGGGACATCGGTCGATTCATTGAGCAGCCATACATCGACGAAGTTACGCCACACCCAATACCCAAAACCTTCAAAATGCCATCTTACCTAAAAATATACGACAACAACGGACCCTAAAGATCATGTGATTCATTACGTCACCGCTGTAAAAAGCAACGATCTCGCCAAAGAGCAAATATCCTCCATCTTACTGAAGAAGTTCGGCAAAACCCTCACCAGGGGTGCATTGACTTGGTATTAATAGCTGCCCGCGCGCTCGATTGAAATATTTGAGGAAATGGCTGATAATTTCGTGACAGCCCATGCCGAAGCAAAAAAGGCAGAGGCGGGAGTAAATAGCATATTTGCCATCAAACAATCACCTAGAGGGGGACTCAAGGACTTCCTTGCTAGATTTAACCGAGTAAGAATGACCTTACCATATGTATTGGAAGGAATAGTTGTGGTAGCCTTTCAGAACGGGCTGAATAGTAGTGGTTCGAGTGCGACCAGAAAGCTGCTGAGCCGCCTTATGAAATATCCCCCGACCACTTGGGAAGAAATACACAATGCTTATTGCGTCGAGGTTCGAGCTGACAAAGATGATCTAAATGGGCCAACTCAATGGCTAACTTCGGTACAAGCTGAATGTAGGAAGGACTAGAGATATGACAATAAGAGAGATCTAGCAGGACCTCGACCTAATTGGGAAAGACATCAGCCTTACAGCCGAGGCACACTCATGCCGCCTCCCCACCACGACGAAGGCCCATCTAGGCCAAGAACAGGAACTCACTGCAGTGAGAGAGGTATGCCCCCTTATTATCTGCTCAGAATTTCTGTGTTTCCCCCTCATAATGTTTTTGCGCACTGGAGAAGCTCGGCCCAAAAGTAAAGTGGCTGGAGAAGATGAGGTCTGACCCGAGCACTAGAAAGTCAAATAGTCTCTGTGAATTCCACCAGGAGCAGGGTCACAAAACCGAGGATTGTATCGCCTTAAGACAAGAGGTCATGAACATGCTTCATCGAGGGCACTTGAAAGAGTTGATGAGCGACCGAGGGAGGGACAATTTCGTCCGTGGACGAGAACAGCACCAGGGACCACCCAAACCACCCTCCCCGACTCGAACCAGTCAAATGATCATCGGAGGGGGCGACGATGCGTCAATCAACAATGTGAAGTTCAACACCACCCACAAACTTAAACGGTCTATCACTCATGAACGGTATGACGAAGAAAGTATCATCTTCGATAAGTCAGATACCCACGGTTAGGTTTTCCCTCACTATGATGCCCTTGTCATTACTTTACGCATCTTAGATACTGATGTAAAACATATTATGGTCGATGACAAGAGTGGCGCGTGCATCATCCACCCTCGAGTTCTCACCCAAATGAAACTCGAGGATAGGATAGTGCCACGCTACATCACAGTAATGGGTTTTAACAATGTAATTGAGCGGACATCTAGAGAAATCACGTTGTCCGTCCTGGAAGATGGAGTCCCTTTGGAGACCACGTTCCATATCATGGACCAGGATACGGCGTACAACGCCATCTCAGATCGACCTTGGATCCACGATGAAAGCCGTCCATTCCAGCTTATATCAAGTCATCAAATTTCCCATCCCTTCGGGGGTGCTCAGCATCAGAGGAAAATAACGCATTGCCAGGGAATGCTACCGCATCGCCCAAGACTGCACACACACCCAACAGTTAAAGGGTAAAGCCAAAGAAGCATAGCAATCAACAGGGTGGAGGTCGAGCGAGGACGAGAAGTATGTGATCAAAGATCCTGAAGTCATAGAAGCTACCGGATCTACCATAGAAGACCTCAACCCCATCCAACTCAATGATAACGACCACAACAAGAAAGCTTTCATCGGCCACAAGCTCCAAGAGCCAGGTAAATTTCGTCAATATTAAATAGTAATGTAGACCTGTCTGCTTTTTCCCATGCAGACATGCCATGTATTCCAAAGGAGATAGCAATGCACAAGCTGAAAGTCGACCCATTCCACCCCCTGGTAAGTCAAATCAGGTGAAATTCAACACTGCCATTAATGACATGGTCCGCGAAGAGGTAGAAATTTGTTGGAAAATGGCTCCATCAGGGTGTCGAGATGTCCTCAATGGGTCACCAATGCGGTCATGGTGAAAAAGAAGAACGGAAAGTGGCAGATGTGCGTGTACTTCACAGACTTAAACAAAGCATGCCCGAAAGATTCGCTTCCACTTACTCATATCGATCAACCCATTGACGCGACTTCCGGACACGAGTTGCTCAGCTTCCTAGACGCTTACTCAGGCTATAATCAGATCCTCATGGAAGAGCAAGACCATCTTTATCACTCATCAGGGAACGTACTGCAACAAAGTGATGTCTTTTAGACTGAAAAACGCGGGTGTGACGTATCAGAGATTGATGACACGAATGTTCAAAGACCAGTTAGGCAAAATAATGGAAGTCTACATCGACGACATGTTGGTCAAGTCGAAAATGAAGGAGGATCACATCGACCATATAAAAGAGGCCTTCAACATACACAGGCGTTACGATATGAAATTGAACCCCGAGAAGTGCGCCTTCGAGTAACCTCAGGAAAGTTCCTCGGTTTCTTAGTATCACAACGAGGCATTGAGGTCAACCCCGACCAAATAAAAGCTAAGAAGGAATACCAGAGAGCTTGACTAGAAAGAAAGAAGTATCTGATGAACGTCTCCTCGTCTATCTGGCCATATCTGATGTGAACCGTGAGCGTGGTCTTGGTCCGAGAAAATAAAAGTACGGAATCTCCCATTTATTATATTAGCAAAACTCTGGTTGATGCCGAGACGAGGTATCCCCACCTCAATAAGCTAGCCCTGGCTTTAGTCGTAGCTTCACGAAAGTTTAGACCCTATTTCCAGTGCCACCCCATCTCGGTGGTAACGACATTTCCCCTGAGGAGTATTCTGCATAAACCCGAGCTATTGGGTAGATTAGACAAATGGGATATATAATTGAGCGAGCACGATATAACCGATCAGCCGCGAATGGCGATAAAGTCGCAAGTACTTGCTGACTTCGTGGTCGACGTAAGCACGAAAATTATGCCTGAAGTCGAAAAAGAAGCCACTCATACTTCCTCCAAAACACACGACCTATGGGTGTTGTATATATATGACACCTCTAACGCGTCGGGATCGAGATTAGGACTTGAGGTCCCAACAGGTGAGGTAATTCGTCAGTCCAAAAGATGCCCAGATATGACTAATAACAAAGCCGAGTTAAGCCGTGATCGCAGGTCTAAAGCTAGCACTTAAGTACAGAGCAAA